CTATATCCTTCCTTGCTTTGCTAACGTTGTACTGTATGTATTGTTGTCTGCAACATATTTAGAAAAGATTGAATTTATACCCCACCCTTAACTACCCAAAGGAGTCTCAGAGCAGTTTACAATCTCCTTTCCCTTCCCCTCCCCACAACAGACACCCTGAGAGTGGGGCTGAGAGAGAACGAGAACTTATGACTGACCCAATGTCACTCCAGCAGCTGTGGAGGAGTGGGGAATCAAACCCAGTTCTCCCAGATTAGAGTCCGTGCTCCTAACCACTACACCAAACTGGCTCTCTATAACTATATATCTATAGTTAAAGGGATTTTTCAACTTATGTAACATTCTCACTGGTGCTCATTCATTCTGGTTTCTTCTAATGTATTTTAATATCTTATACTTTGACTGTTTTCAAATTATTTATGTTCATTTTACATCATGCTTCAGATCCCCTGATGAAGCCACAGCAAAAAAAAGAGGGTTTTCTTTTTAGCATTCCATCAATACATTTTCATTCAAAAACTGCACTATCAACAGTTGTCTTTGCCTTTTGTCTTTTTGCACATATGCTACATTTCCCAGACATCTTTGCAATACATATTTTCTCCTGTTACCTCAAACAGCTCTCACTGACTTCCATACATTAATTATCAAGTTCTAGCCTATACCACTATGGCCCCTACACAGGCAAAACAGCACCAAATGGTATATGAACCCAAATCCACATCCCCCTTAATTTACCCCCTCCATTATTGAACTTCAAACTGCATTTTCAGAAAACCAGTTAAATTAAGAGCCACACTTTGGGAGGCCATGATGTTAACATTATGAATATATGACTACTATGTTCTAATGAAATATAATCATTGGAAATGTTCAGAAGATGCAGTGGACTAAGTGTGGATATAAGTGTAGCAGAATATGATTGAAATCTCTGCTCACCAAGGAAGTTCCCTGTCTCACCAAGGCCACAGGTTTTGTACTCCAATGTAATATGGAAAAAAAGTGACTATGCGGGGACTGTGAAAGTCACAATCCCCAAGATGTGTAAGGTTCTTTACAGAGAGTACCTGAAGGTCCAAATTTTACACACTTGCTGAGGCAGATTTTCTGCTGCATGGACATTCAGCATTGATCTGCAGACAACTGTAGAGCCCTGAGCATACTGCACAACACATATTCAAACCATCTGAGTTGCATTCCCAGACCACATTTCTAGGTAAAAACATGATGAGTGTGTAACTGACTCATGTCTATGAGAGAAACATTTATTTACTTTGGAGATCCAAAGTACCTTACAACATTCTTCCCTTCTCCATTTTATCCTCACAACCACCCTGAGGTAGATTAGGCTGAGGGTAGGCAACTAGCCCAAGGTCATCCAGCAAGCTTTGATGGCAGAGTAGGGATTTGAAGCTGGGTCTCCCAGATCCTAGCCCAACATTCTATCCTCTTCCTCCACACTAGTGTGACATCTGTTTGTAAGAATTCAGTGTGGTCAGGAGTATCACTGCCAAGTTTCTAGCACTCTTCATGCATCATCGCTGGGGGAGTGCAAAGCAATCCACTAGCTAAAGAACCTGACAGTCCTGTGTAACTCAGTGGGGTGGGAGGATAGCACAGAGTACTTTAACTTCTCCCTAGCTGAGAGACTGAGGTGGAGGGAGTAAGCACTGAGCATACTCAATTTACTAGAGGGGTGTTTTAGTTCATAAATTTCAAACACAGAGCAACAAAAAAGTTAATATTGTTCTGTGTTCCAACAGAGACTCTGGATATGTAGAAACCCTGTATGTAGTATGCACTCAATTTTTCTGCCTTTCACCTGACACAGTACCATCAAGTTTTCTATTAGAAGGAGTGAAGGTACCCAACCCTTTAAGCTCTTGGCAACTGACAAGAGCCAGTGGCATGAATTTAATCTAGGAGTCCCTACAACACCTTTCCTGGTACTCACCGTGTTTTTAGAAATGAGTAGGGCCAGATGGGCTTTTGCCCAAAGGTTGTCTGTGCTACTTCCATAGCACAACAATAATCACAGCGTGACTTAAAAGTATGCTGTGTATGTGCTAAATTGTTTTTTAAAAACAATATGGTCTTTGTAAAAGACATCTTGTTAAACAAGTTATGCATAACCTCATTCCCTGACATTTTGTGGTTGGCTCCACCTCCTGCGGCAGCCATTTTGTGGTTGGATCCCTCACCCTATGTCAGAATTCCAAAGATGCCTGCAAATTCAAAGCAGCTGGAGAACCTTAAACCAAGGTGAAACCAAGCAGTGCAAATGGCATTGTGGAATACCCTAACCTCTAAGTAACAACAAACATGGGGGGGGGGGGAAATAAAACAGATCCAGCTTTAGAGAAAGAGCAAATTAATATGCAAGCAAGCCAGGCAGACATGTGTTTCAGGTAGTAGGGAATAGAGAAACTGGGGGTGGAAGTAAGAGAGGAAAAAGATTACAACCAGCTACTCTACAGGACTAGTAGGTTAGATTTCCCAATAACTAACAAGTATACACTTGCTCAACAACCAGCAACAGGTAATAGCAAGGTACTAGAATGATCACAAACAACAACATTGGGCCAAGACTGACAGCCAAATCTGGCGTCAAACACAGACATCAACTACTAAGATAGACAGTGGACTGGCGATAAAAGCCAATGCAACTACATCTGAGTAACTAAGGATTTCTTTGCAATACTCCCAATTAATTCTCCATGCTGCCTTTATCTAAGCTAAGGAGTCTTTCAAAAGCAATTGAGGTATGGTATTGGGAAGGGTGGTCAGGTACTTAAAGGAGTCAGAAATAATGAAATTTGTTTTTCTATCAGTTAGTGGGTAAGGACTTTTGGACAAGTAGGCTTTGAATAATGGGCAGTTTTTGTTTTTAAATTATACTGTTGCTATCTAGCTTGTTGATTCTGGACTGTTAGAAAACTAGAATTCAAATATTTTAAATAGAGCTCATTAGGTACACCCAATATCTGAACTTACTCTTTGGATCCCAGAAATAGCTTATCTTTTCCTCTGCCATATTGTGCCAATAGTGTTTTACTTTCAGAAAGTTATTTCATATCAGTTTCTCTCTCCCATAAAGATGGGCTAATTCTGCCATAACACAAACCTCATTTAGTTAAAAAAAAATTCATGGACTTTTTCATATATGTAATAACAGGCCCTTTTGGGGGAAGGGGGAATATTTTAAACGTAACTGTTTAAATGAATATGTTGGCAAACACCTGGAATGTTCAGGACTGCTTTTCAAACTCAAGTATTAAACAGCATTTCCTGAAGGCCTCTATGAACAAGGCAACATCTCTTCCCTGTGCCTTATATATTGCTAGCCAAGAATAAGCCACAGGGAGAGCTCTGTATGCACAGAACGTCCATGTAACACCATTTCCTGTAGAAAGATATATTTATTTGTTTTACATGTTCAGATTTTATTCTCAGTAATGAAGTCCAGTAAGTCAATTCTTTGACCATAAAAACTAGTTTTACATATTATTTACAGGTATGCAAAGATATACAGAGTGTTACTGCTGCAGTCTATACTTTCACAAGACAGGATCAGGGGAGAGCTTACTGCAATGACATACATTCAAAGTGTAAATTGTGGATATGAACAATGTTTTTGGCACAGTTAACTTCATTTTATGCTCTGGCCCCAATACAGAACATAGTTAAGTCAAGAGGGAGAAAGAAACGCATCTTGGGTACTATAAATATTCTTTGGCAATCTGCAGCAGACTGGTGTAAGACAGGAAAATAACTGTCAGGTGGGGAAATTGAGCTGAGCCCCTCACTCTTGCTTCCCATGGCTCTGGTCATTTGTGGTACCAGAAATGCTTTGGCAAGCTCATGCTGGAGTTCAGATGACAGTTTTATCTTCAATTAATTTGAGTGACACAAATTTTACTGGTTAGCATCCTTTCTCCTAATGAAGGCTAGATTTCTAAATGATGACAAATCTCCCTAAAATGCACTGCACATATTCATGATCTTCACAACAGAAATCAGAGGAACACAAGTGAAGCAGAAGCGGCTTCCGATACTCCAGTTAATATGAATTGGTCACAGTAGCAAGCACCATAAAACAGATCTCTTTAAAAAACAAGCAACATAAGAACAGACTGCTTTACTTCGTTACAGGCTTCTGTAACTCGTTACATACTGGATCTTTTTAAAAGGAGAGGAAAAATACATTTTTCACTCTTAGTATGATCTGTTATATTTCCCTAATTTGTGGCATTTACTAAAAAACCATTTACAAAATATATTTCAATTCCCTTTTTTAAACCAAAAAATTGCACTAACCTAACTTTACCGTTCCTAATAAAATACACATTTGAAAAGAAACATCTGAACATACACTCACTTTGAATGCTTGCCCAATCATATAATTCAGGGATGAAACATTAGGATAAATCATTGAAGGAACACAGCATACTGTAAACATTATGTAGCACCTAAAAGGAGCTAACTGTAGGAAACCAATTGACAAAAATTAGTCCATGGATTTTATTTTTCTTTATATTTGTTATGTAGATTGCAATCACACAATCATAGAATAATTGCCACAGTCATTATGCAGTTAGTCATGTCATAGTTTACAATCCCAGAATTGAGAAACCCTCAGTGCATATTGACTTAATACTTTTCTTCCCTTTGCTGTTATGTGCAGGCAAAATACAGATTGAACATCATACTACATTTTGCTGAAAAGTAAATAGATTGACATGTATAAATGAAGACATAATAGGTCATTTGAAGTGTAACTGACAAAATCAAATCAAAGTTTCATTTTTTAAAAAAGGGAAAAGTCTTATCACTCACCTTAGAACCTGTTTTAAACTGGTAAAAATCACAGTAGTAAAACAGGTGTCTTAAAGTTTACATTACATTTGGGCAAACCAAATTTATACAATCCCATTACATATAATAATTCAAGTAAGCATCTACCAAATTCTGCCAAAGTCTTTATACAAATCACCAAATGCCTATTAAACCACTGCTTTCCAGTGAAAGAAAAAAAATGGGCTGTAATTAACAGTTGAATCCATTAGTTGTTCAAATGCTTGTTTAATAGTACAATCAATGATTTAAAAGTATTTCCACATTCTAGGAACTGCTTAAGTGAACTTTATATGCTTATATTCATTTACAGCTCATTATGAGCTGCAATATTTAATTCCATTTACCTGCCAGTAGAATTGATGCACAGTTTTAGAAACATTTGAAGCTAACTAAGCAAGTATACTCCTAGCTGTTCCATTATGGAAGTCCAGGGAGGAAGCTGTGACAACAGAACATCCTTTCTCTTTCATGAGGTCCAATGTTACCCGTTGATTGTAGCTACTCTGAGAGGTTCCTTCATAACTTGACGCAAAGTATTCCTTAGACTGAGGAGTTGGTCACTGGAGGGAGGAGAGCCCTGTAGCCTTCAAGCAGCTCTACTTTACAGACTTCTGCTATGCCATATGTCACAGCAGTAAAGGATTGCTTTCCCACACCTCCAAGGATGATGAGTACACACGCACACAAATTCTAGAAAGGTAAGACACTTTATTGAATTTGATAAATTAAGAAAGACTATGTACTGGACTTATATCACAGGTATTTGTAAACAGAGACACTGGGTCCTTTCCAAAGAAATCCTGATAATGTTCAGCAAGAATTCATTTTCCCCAGCGCTGTTCACAGGTTGCATAGTGACAGAGGGCAGAGAAAAAGTCTTCATAGCTGATGTTCACATGTGAAGGTAAAGAACTGGGAAAACATAAATGGGAAAGAAAAACTAAGCGTCTTATGTGGCCACTGTGGTGTGTACACTAGATGACTGATACCATTCATCCCAAACTATAACTTCAAATAATTTCTTTGGTTTGGTGCAAAACATATTCTTCATTAGTCATAACTTTGACTTGGATTCAACTAAAGCATGAAACCATGAAATAAGACTAATTAAGGTCAGCTATTTAAGCGTGAGGACCACTTAAGTAACAAATAGTAGAGCAGATTGCTTAGAAGCCGTTAAAAATTAACAGAAGAAAGCCATTAAACATTAACAGAAGAAAGAAAGATGGTGGAAAAAGGACTCTAGGGAACTGAAATCCAGAGCCTTCCCCTTCCCACTATGTCATCCCATTCTACCACCTCAAGCCACACATAAAGGACAGAGGACCCTTGGGAATAATGTGGCACTATGGAAGACAGGAGG